TCTGCATGGCTTCCAGTGACCATGGAGAGAATGTTGGCTGCTTGTGGGGTGGAGTGGGGACAAGCAGGATGAAAGGGACATTTTTCCTTTGACTCACACATCTGCAGGATGATGAAAAGACCTCACCATTTCCTTTTCTGACGATTGGCCTCACAAACGTTAGCAAACAGCAGATTTTGGCTTCGAATTCATTTAAATCGGTTGGAATCATCACGTAGCAAATGGGTTTATTTTTCTTTAACATCCTATTTCTATTTTTGTAAAGATCTAAAACTGAACACCCACAGTTACCTCACTGAGAAAATACATCACTTAAAGTGTTGTATGATATGAGTATCAATTTTGTCTTCGTTCATTCTTTTGGGAGGAGAAAATAAAATCCGCCTTTACCTCTTCCAACTAATATTTTGTAGTCGGGTGGCTTGCAAATTAATCAACAAAAGGCAGGTTAACAGGGGAAGAGACAAAGTTTACTCATTTAGTCAATGGAAATGAATGAAAGAAACTTATCATGTGAAAAAGTGGGTCCCTAGAGAGCTTGAGTTCAGGATTTGTATATCATCTTAGTAAGAAGGGGACTTAGGACTTTAAAGGAAGGCAAATGGCAGCACAGTAATCAGAAACAAGTGAAAAGTACAGAAAGTTTTGATAGTTTCATTTGTGTAATTTCGATGTGAGGGGTCCATCTCCTTTTTAACTGTGAAGTTCTGAAAAGGGGATTCATGGTGACTGTATTTTCAGGAGGTTTTGCTTAAGTCAGCAAAAAGAAGTTTTGAACAATTTTTGTTTCTGTTTTTGTTTCTCTTTCCTGTGGCTGCTGTTCAGATATTTTCAGCCTATGATAATCATTGTTCACAATGGGCGGGTGCATTAATTCATTAATGGATTCCATTAATTCACTCAACGTTTATTGGATAACTGTAGGGAGTTGGCATTACTCTAGATGCTGGGAATTCAGCATAGAACAAAATAAAGAAAAATCCCCACCTTCATCCTAATGAGAGACAGATAATAAACATCAACATGTGAAATATTTAATATGTTAGTGATTGATGTTAGCAAGAAAAATAAAGCAGAGGATTTAGGAAGTTGCAGTGTAGCAGGGACATGCAGTTTTAGATAGAGAGGCTCATTAAGAAGGCTCAGTGGCAGAGCGCTCACCTAGCAAGGCCCTGGGTTTGATCCTCAGCACCACATAAAAATAAATAAATAAAATAAAGGTATTAAAAAAGTTAAAAAATAAAGAAGGTGATCACTTATGCCTATAAAGGCAAGGGCAGTCTGATCCCCAAAGAACAATAGCAAAGACATTGTAGATGCCATTATGGAATTAGCAATGTAACCATGTGACAGCCAAGACCTTTTTCTGATGTTTCAAAAGGATAACTGCAGCTTGGTTTGAAATTTGTATTGTTTCTATCATTAATAAAGTTATGGCTTCAACAAAAAGAAGAAGAGAAGATGGTGATCTTTTGGTCCAGGGATGTAGCTCAGTTGTAGAGTGCCTGCCTAGCATGGATGGACCCCTGGGTTTGGTACCCAGCACTGCAAGAAAGAAAAAAAAAGTAATATAGGTATTTGTACTTGCTGTAGTTGGCATTTATTTTTGTTTTGGGCATTATCATATTAAGGAGGCAATAGAGACTGAAAATTAGCAAAACAGCCCTTTGGGTCCTTGAGGTGATTAATCACCTAATGGAGTTAATTAAGTCCCTGAGGGATGTGTCTGGGTTTTAAAGGTGGTTCTTTCACTGTAGGTCCCTTGGCAGTGCAAGGACTGAATGAATCACTACCTTGTCATATGGCCTTGTCAGTATTGTATTCCTAAGCCAGTTATCTTCCCAGCACCAGTTTAGATTGTTCTGTGTTGGCAATAAAAAAGGGAAGATTCTAGAAGTATTCCCATCATTACTTTGAAGTGCAATTGTGTCTCCCTTAGCAACAACCTGATTTGCTAACCTATTGCCATAGAAATAAAATGCAAAATATATAAGAATTGTAATAGCACTCTCTATTTTTTTAAAAACATTCCTTTTCCCCTCCCTATTTGTCATTTGACAGACTCTCTCTTTCTGAGTGCCTGACCATAGCTCTGTTTAGATTTTCTGTCCATCACATACATAAACTTCTATGACTCGCCTTGTATCTCTTTTAACTTCAGACCCACCTCCTATCTCTTTTAACGTCCTTTAAAGCTATATTTTCAATTTCTGTCTTTATCTTGTAAGAATAGAAAGAGGAGATAAAAAAAAAAAGAAATAAAGCAGTATCTACCCATTGGGATGATTTTATTTAAATCACATTGGTCTATTTTTTTTTTAATACTAGGGATTAAACCCAGGGACACTTAACCACTGAGCCACATCCTTAGCCCTTTTTAATATTTTGTTCAGAGACAGGGTCTCACTGAGTTGCTTAGGGCCTCACTAAATTGTTGAGGTTGGCTTTGAATTAGATATCCTCCTGCCTCAGCCACCTGAGCTACTGGGATTACAGGCATGAGCCACCATGCCTGGCTTCACATTGGTCTTATTAAATGTTCTTTTGATTTTGCTTATGACCACTTTCTTGTACAGGAATCAACTTTTGTACCTAATACATAATTGTTTTTTTTTTTTAAAAATAGTCTTTGGTGGGCTAGGATTGTGGCTTAGTGGCAAAGCACTTGTTTAGCATGTATGAGGCACTAGGTTCGATTCTCAGCACCATATATAAATAATAAAAAATAAAGGCCCATCAACAACTAAAAATAAACAAACAAACAAATAAATAAATAAATGAAATACTCTTTGGATTCTTTAGATTCCTGAGGGAACCTGAAACTTGAGCATCCCCATTAAGGTTTTGTGTATTCTTTACTGTGCTACATAAATATTCCTGTTGGCAAAACTACTTCCAACCAAACATAAACTTCATATTCACTTTAAATGTGTTATTTTGGCACCTGGTCAAAAAAATGTTCTGATCACATGTTTATAAACTTATTGATTAACTAAGCAAATCACTACTGATCATCTACTGCAAGCCAAATATTGCCAAGATAAAGAATAGAGCAATTAAAGATGGAGTCCTGGTTATCAGAGAACCCAGAGTCCAGGAGGAGATACAGACAAGTGGAAAGAGAAGGCGGAGTGGTAGATGCCTAATCATGGCAAGCAAAGGACCTTGGAAGCCCAGCTGACCAGAGCCCAGCTCTGCTCTGGGAGGCCAGGTAGACAGTTCAGGTAAGCTTCCTGGAGCTTGGTTTTGCAACCTGGAATGGAATTATGTAGGTAGGAACAGCAGCCTGGGTAAAGGCAAAGTCTGGAGAACCTCCTGATAACTTCCTAGAAGGAAGAGATGGATAAGAGAGAAGACTGGAAACAGAGGCAGCCTTCAGATCCTGAAGGGCATTTATACTCTGCTAAGGAGGTGGGATTTTATTCCCAAAGCAATAAGGAGCCAATGAAGCAGAGACAGTGTTACTGACATGGAAGGCTTACTTTGGAATCTTAGACATTGCAAAGTTCACTGTCGTCTAAATAGAGAAAACATTGTGGAACGGAGCAACAAGAGTGGAGGGGACTGAGAGGCCTGTTAAGGCTCTGTTGAATTAGTACAGAAGAAAAGCCTAATCTGAGGCATTAGCACTGAGGATAAGAAATATAACACGAATTTGTGAGATTTTAAAAAGGCATTTGTCAATCAATTTGTTATAGGGAGTAAAGGAAGGTAAAGAATGGAATCTGAGAGGGCAGTAGTTACCAGATGTGGCTTGAAAAAGCAAGCAGATGTTCAGTGGATATTGACAATATCCTGGAATATCTTTTAATACTGGTTTTTGGGTAATTGAACTAATATTCAGTTTATAAGCCCTTATGCAGTAATAGGGTTCCCCTATAGCATTGGTTATAGAAAGAACACAAGATCTTCAAAGTTAGGATCTGGTCTTAAACCATAATTTCAACATTTTCACTGAAAAAGATATTTTTGATCATTTGTAAGTTGAGAGTAATCAGGCTTTTCTCACTATGACACAGGCTTATGACAGCCAAAT